TTGACTTCTCTAAAATGTAAAAGAGCTATTTGCTGTTGCACTGTACACATACTATACAATTCAGATATATATATTTTTTTTTCTTTTTTTTTCTTCCATATGTGCTTATATGGGCTCTTTATATCATTTGGTTCTTTGGTGTCCTTTTGGAGTTTTGGAGTCCTTTTTTGGAAAGACATCTACATTTATCCTGAGAAAAGCTTGCAGAAAATACAGATTTTTGAGAATCACCCTTCAATCTTTTCGTTTACTTTGCTGAATATAGCAAATGATGACAAAACCATTTGAAACAAGATAAATGGTCTATGCTTAATTTCATGAAGTGTGCGATTAATCGCGATTAATCACAGAAAAGGGTGTGATTAATCCGATTAAAAATTTTAATCTATCGACAGCCGTAATTTTAACCAATCACACACGAGTCTGTTGAGCTTATGAATGCAATGGCCAATCAGACCAGTGTTGCCAACTTAGCAATTTTGTTGTTAAATTTAGCAACTTTTCAGACTACCCTAGCAACTTTTTCTTCCAAAAGCACTTAGCAACAAATGTAGCAATTTTTTGTATTTATTTGGCAACTTTTAGCAACTTTTGATAAGTGACCCAGACAATAAAAAGGTACACATTTTCCATCAAAATTGCACAAAAAGAGGAAACCACAGCTGCCTAGCAGTACACACTAGGGCTGGGTAAAAGATATCAATATCTCGATATTAATCGATTCTCATTTTTACGGAACGATATCGATTCTTAAATCCCAAGAATCGATTAGTCTAGCCTGTTTTCAGTTAATGGACGGACCGTTGAAGGGCACTTCCCATTAGAGCTGCACGATTAATCGTTAAAAGATCTCGATCTCGATTCAGACAATCACACGATCTCATTTCTAAATGACAACGATTCTCCCGTGTCTATTAAACCTTTGACAAAGTCTTACCGGATCATTCAAATGTGCGTTCGCACTGCCGCTGACACGGAGAGAGCAGTTACCATGTTTAGTTAAGAAACAGCTTCACAAACCGTCTTTTCAACTACACAGTAGTTTTTACCAAAATAGAGCAAATCCGCGTTTGAAAGTAACTGCCTCATAACGTTTGTGTCGATTGCATTGTTTCGTGACTTAAAAAATGTATAATTGAATGAATAATTTATTCAAGAGAATCGTTCGAAAACGCTGATTCATCCAGTAGGTTCATGAGTGAGTCGTTGAATCACTGATTCAAACAACTTTTTCATAATTTTAATATTAAATAGAAGTATTAAATATATTATATTTTAAATACATATACACTACCAGTCAAAAGGTTTTGAACCATGAGATTTTGAATGTTTTTTTAAAGAAGTCTCTTCTGCTCACCAAGCCTGCATTTTTTGGATAAAAGCGTCTGCTAAATGACTAAAAGTAAAGTAAATGATTCATTCAATTATACATTTTAAGTCACTTTGCAATCAATGCAATCGACACAAACGTTATGTGGCAGTTACTTTCAAACGCGGATGTTTATATCTGATATTTTAACGATTAATCGTGCAGCTCTAGTATATGCTTTACAATTTTGTCTTTATCACCGTCTTGGTACATTAAGCCACTTTAAGCATTTTAGAAAGTCCCCTGTTCAAGTTCTGCTAATCCACAAGCCTAGTAGTGAGAGTCATGCTCGCAATGAAGGTAATGTTAACTATTAAACCAACCAAATCAAAACTTTCAAAAACACACAGCAATGTGATTCTTTTATTGAGTGAGAGTCAGTGGGTTTAATCAGTGACATTAACAGATTTACTATTCGGCGTCTTCTCCGCGACCTCCTTCCCTTGGAGTTTTTACACATAGAAAAGGCAAAAAAACATATTGCATTGTCCAGTTTTACGTCACATTCTCATTCTTTATTGTTTTGAAAATGCGACCTCTAGTGGCGAAAACTTACGTATTGTACCTTTAAGACTTTTTAATGATAAGGTCTTATTTTTACACTAAGGATCTGTGGGCAGCCTGCGTCTAAAGCTTTGTTATCTTAATGTACCACAAAGAGTCGTGAAAAGATGAATGAAGAATAAAGACCAACCTCCTTGTTCCTCGTGTTTTATTATCCGGGTTTCTGGTTACTCGGGTTCTGGTTCACTCTCCTCTTTAACAAACACCATCTTCACAGCAGCAGATCTCAGTTCAGATTATACTCCTCCAGATAATCCTGCTTACTTCAAAACTTAGTCACGACTATGAGGATCAGAATATTACAGGTATTTACTGACCTGATTCAAAAACTGTATTTCTCTATTTACAGAAACAACATTTCTAACAGTTTGTATTCAACCAACATCACAACAAAACAACAGAGAGCGCGGTGAAACTAACCTTCTTCCTCTGAGGTTTAATGGTGTTTGGCAAACAAACGAATGTGTCTTAGCGCCACCCGCTGGACAGGAGTGTGAAGCGGCGAGAGGAAGGAAACAATACGGGGAAATTACTTAGTAAGGTGCACTGATTTATTTTTATGAAGTCAAAACAGCGCCACATATTCTTGCAAAATAATTATAGTATTGCAAAAGAAAATAACGTTTTGCAAACGAAAATGAAAATATTGAAAAAATGCTTTTTGCAAACAGAAATAAAGAATTGCAAAAGAAAATGAAGTATTGCAAGAAAACAAGTTTTGCAAACAAAAATAAAGAATTGCAAAAGAAAATGAAGTACCACTTATTTTGCGTTTCAGTCAAGTTTGAGCTTGCAATACCGTTTTCCCTTTGCGCTTCACGTTTCTGCGCGTCTCACTTTCTGGCACTGTTTTGACATGGGGGTGGAGTCAAGGGACGGGGCGTGTACAACAGGCCTGGGCACACCTCCCTGGAAGTGACGTCATCGCCCGAGACGCAGATCACTGATCCAAGCATTGAACAGAGGCATGCAGGTGGATCATTTCCTTTTATTCACTAGCATTAAAACATGCATGTTTTTCTGCGTCTTTTTAATGGAGTCAGTATAATGCCACATATATATGCAAACTAATAAAGTTTTGCAAAAGAAAAATAAAGTCTTGAGCAAAAAAAATAAGTTTTGCAAACAAAAATAAAGATCGCAAAATAAAAATAAAGTATTGAGAGAAAAAAATTAAGTTTTGCAAACAAAAATAAAGATCGCAAAATAAAAATAAAGTATTGAGAGAAAAAAATTAAGTTTTGCAAACAAAAATAAAGATCGCAAAATAAAAATAAAGTATTGAGAGAAAAAAATTAAGTTTTGCAAACAGAAATAAAGAATTGCAAAAATTAAGATATAATTCATTGCAAAAATCAATGACAGTTGTAAAATAAGCTTATGAACTGTGATTCTATTTTATCTCTGCAACATATTTTCCATGCTCACACCTACTAATTCATTTGCAATGCTCCATTTATTTTGCGTTTCAGTCAAGCGTGAGCTCGCGATACCGTTTTCCCTTTGCGCTTCACTTTTCTGTGCGTTTCACTTTATGGCACTGTTTTGACGTGGGGGTGGAGTCAAGAAACTGGGGCGTGTCATTAGCAACAAGCCATGTCATTAGCAACAGGTTCGAAAGTCAGCATGGCAGAGCGCAGGCCTGCGGGTGGATTCCAGGTATGTAAAGTTGATTGTTTCCTTTTATTTCACTAACATTAAAATGTGTGTTGTTTTGTTAACTACATGCGATTACTATAAGTCGAGTGTTTGAAATAAGTTCATTTTGTGAGCTGATGTGCGGTTTTTGTCTCAGAACGAGGCAGATAATTTTTATTTATTTATTTAGTCATTTAGCAGATGCTTTTATCCTATACGGTAATAAAGGCTATGTCCATTAGCACTGGATTATAAATATACTTTATTATTATGAAAATACCAGAGATGGCTTGAAGAACACAGCTAAACCATATATTGTTGCGTCGTGCTCACGCTTGACTGAAACGCAAAATAAATGGAGCATTGCAAATTAATTAGTAGGTGTGAGCATGGAAAATATGTTGCAGAGATAAAATAGAATCACAGTTCATAAGCTTCTTTTACAACTGTCATTGATTTTTGCAATGAATTATATCTTAATTTTTGCAATTCTTTATTTCTGTTTGCAAAACTTAATTTTTTTCTCTCAATACTTTATTTTTATTTTGCAATCTTTATTTTTGTTTGTAAAAGTTTTTTTTTTTGCTCAAGACTTTACTTTCTTTTGCAAAACTTTATTATTTTGCATATATATGTGGCATTATATTGACTCCATACATGCCTCCTCCAAAACTCATGAACGCAGACCAGACGCTAACCAGCGACACTAAGAGGACGCTGAGGATTGAGTGCAACGCTGTCAGATTACCTCATGTCTCATTCACCTGTAAAACATTACAGTACAATGTAGGGCTGCACGATAAATATCGCACGATATCTTTACTGACAAGATGCGCATTAAATATCGCATGCGATTTATCGTGCAGCCCTAGTACAATGCGCATAATATTACAATAATAACGGCTTCCATTCTCGCTTGGTATGCAATAGGGTAATGAACGCGCTGATGATGTATCATGTCTGTGTAAACAGGGTGCACAGAGGTATGCAAATACATATTTTGACAGACAGGCAGGACAACCTATCGTAATGTTCAGACCAAATAATCTGAATGGTTGAACATTGTATGGTCCTACGCCTTCCACAGACAATATACATATAAATACATTTAGAGCACTTAGTTAAATTCCCCGGGCGCCGCAGCAAAAATTGCTGCCCACTGCTCCGGCTGTGTGTTCACGGTGTGTGTGCTGTGTGTGTGCACTTGGATGGGTGAAATGCAGAGCACAAATTCTGAGTATGGGTCACCATACTTGGCCACACATAACGTCCTTTCCTCCTTAGTGATTGCTATCAGGATGTGAAGAGACTTTCAACCAGCATAACAAAAAATGTTTTTGAACCAAATCACTTCTCCTGCCTTTAAAACACCCCATTGTCCAACAAACTTCTGATAATTAACTAGTTACAGTGCAGCCTCTGCATATCTATCATGTTACAGTGTTTGGTGTAAACCACTGATATATATAATGACTGGATCGCTCATTGCTTTCTAAACTGTCATCAGGCGGTGAAGTGTTCGACCGGCCATCTTATTATTCCCTACCAGCAGAGAGCATCACTGACTGACAGCCAAAACTCTGACCAAAAATCACCTGATTTGAAGCGCATCGGTCACACAGGACTAGTTTTTAGGATATGTGTGAGTAAATTAATTTTTACTTCAGATGTTATCTGCAAACTTTGTGGTCTTTTCTGGCAGGATAAGCCATATATTGAAATCGTTTAGGTGGGTGTGTCTGCTGCACAGGTAGATTTTGATCCAACACAAAATATATTTCTTTATGTAATTATGCAGGAAATATTAAACAGGAACATCTGGTATTAGTATCAGAAATTGATTTGAATATACAATAAATATTACAATGCAAGCCTCTGTTACTATGTTGCTCTATACTGTATTGAAATTCAAAGCTTATCATGCATCATCTTGGTAATGAAGCTTGATGTCTTTAAGTCCATACACTCTAAAAAAAAAAAAAGGTTCTTCAGCGGTTCTTTGGAGTTGATGATGTGCTATATAGCACCACTACCGTATAAAGAACCTGTTAAGCACCTGTATGGTTCTTCAGCGGTTCTTTGGAGTTGATGAGGTGCTATATAGCACCACTACCGTATAAAGAACCTGTTAAGCAAAAGTGCTATATGGCACCATTTGACAAAGGTGCTATATAGCACCTGTAAAAATAGGTGCTAAATAGCACTAAAAGGGGTTCCCCTATGATTACGAGTCAAAGAACCGCTTTTAGTGCTATATAGCACCATTTTTTTTTAGAGTGTACCGCATGTTGTCAGCATTATTTCTCTGAATGATGTTACGATGCGTGTAGTTTTCTTTATGTTCTGATTGAGCAACATCTATTTCAGAGCTGCAAATTCTAGCATTACAGTTTCCATAGGAGTAAAACGTTATGTATATATTAATTATTAATTTAACCAACATTTAAATCATTAACTGCTTCAAAATTAATGCTGTTAATGAAATCATTGTTGAAACATTTGCAGTTACAAATAAAAAACAATATTACAACATAATTACATAAGCAGTGTATAATTGTACAAGGTGGATTAAGGTATATGCACAAAAAAGTATAACATTTTATTCAGATTTCAGAATAAGCACTTTGTCATTTGTAATACATTAGTTGAGGATCTCGTCCATCTGATGTTCATCGTGTTCATCTGATGTTCGCTACTGTAATGAATATGATACTTATACATTTTTCAGTTTCAACAGAATGTATGACAATATTCCCTAATTAATTCCCATAAATTCCTGTTAAGTTTCCAACTTGGAATATTTCCAAAATTCCCCAGACGAAGTTCCCATGGAAAGTTTCTGGAAATTTACCAGAAATGTTTTGCCCCTTTGCAACCCTAATACAAACCCAACACAACAAGAAAAGCTAGTAAAGTTAGTAAAGCTAATAGGCTCAGTAGCTTCTGCAGCACGAAGACAAGCATATAGTCCACTATTGTTGTTGTTGTTGCTGTTACGTGAAGTAGCGGTGTCTGACTAGGGTCGAGACGTGGGGTGATGACATTTTCTTTTCACAAAATATACAGATTCGCTGTACACACGAAAACGCATTGGTGTCGTTTTCAGATTTATCCACTCTGGGACCTGGTTTCAAAAATAGTGGCTTCAGGCTCCCTTTATCCAGGCCTTTATTCACCCCCCGGAGCCGTATGAGGCACGTTTTATTATGAATGCGCGAGCTTTATTTGACGACTTGTGGACTGATCAACTGCAACACCCGCTGACTGCAATGATAGAGCTTGGAATAGCCAGGACAATTTTTAATATAACTCCGACTGGATTCGTCTGAAAGAAGAAAGTCATATACACCTAGGATGCTTCGAGGGTGAGTAAAACACAGTCTAATTTTCATTTTTGGGTGAACTAACCCTTTAATGTCTCAGTGTGAAGACCTTGTCCCAAGATGTTTTTGATACATTTTGGACACAGAGGGACCATCATTCAACTGTGGGACTTAAATATGCTATGGAGAGATATATAA